TGATGGTGATGAGGATGTTGATGGCAATGGTGGGGTGAGGATGTTCGTGATAGTGATGAGATGGTGGTGGTGACGGTGATGAGGATGAGGATGGTGGTGTCAGCAATGACTGGTGGTAGCTTTTTTGTTGTTTTGTTTTGTTGGGAGAATGGAGATAAAGCATTAGGGAAGAAGTCACAACCTCTGCTCTTCCCTTTCTCCTCCACAGAGAATTCTGTGGGCTCCTGGGTCTTCATGTTGATATTCAAAGAAATGATAGAAAAGAAACAAATCAGTTAAGCAAGTTAACCAGGCTCCTAAAGACAGTGCCCGAGACTTGGTCCGCAGGAGGAGGGAGGAGGACAGAGAGGGAGACCCAGCACACCACGGGGAGCGGGCTCTGGGAAAAGGCAGTCCAAGAGGCTTTCCTGCAAGCACTGCTCTGTGGGCTAAGGTGGAATTCTACCTTTGTCACAGGATGCTGGCACTGACATTTCTTGGCTGAGATTCTTTGGCTGCAAAAGGCTTTATAGCAGGTGAGTGCAGACTCTGGCTTCTCCGGGCCACTCAAGGAATGAAAGGAAGAGCAGAACAGTCAGGCAGTGGTGGGGGCGAGGGGGAGATCCTGGGCCTCAAACCTTGCACTACTTCCTGGCCTCCTCTACCTAGAGCCTGCCTCCCTGAGCCACCTGCCCCCACGCCTTGGAATCCTGCCCGGTCCCTGGCAAGCGCAGGGGAAACAGGGCTCTCAAGGAAAGCAAATTAAACCATCCATCACTCTGACTGGAAATTAATTAGCAATAACTGCAAAATGGGAAACACGACTGGGAGACAGGGGACTGAGGGAGGTGGCAGCAGGGCTGAGGGAGGTACGCAGGCACACCGTGCTGATCCCCAGCCAGGGTCCGTGGGAGCCACCCCAACGGACATGGGCCTTCGGCCGGAAGTGGCAGCCTGACGGATAGCAGTGATTGATCTTCCTTCAGGGCTGACAGCTGAAACCATTCACGCCCCAGTGATCAATGGACCCGGACCAGAAATGAACAAGACGACAAAACGGGGTACAGAAAAAGCTGCAGGAAGTGCTCGGGCAGGAAAATAACCAGGGATTGGGGCAGTGACTGACTGGACAAATTCTGAAGACAAGTTATTTTCAAAAGAGTAGAGATGAAGCTTTAGTGGACATGTCCCCTGCCAGAATCGATGCCTCGGCCTAGAGCCCAGCTCTGCAAAATTCCAGAAGGAAGGAACAAACAGATCTACAGATTCTGCATGCAGCGGACAGGTTACTCTGTGTGAAGGACAACAGGGAGAGACCCAGAAATCTGAAGCACTCTGCCGTCTACCAGAGGAGCGTGTGTCCTGCAGAGAATGGTGAAGAACCTCTCCTAAGCCATCTACACTGCAAATGCAGAAACGAAATCCTTGAATTGGAAAGTTGCGACTGTAAGTACTCAGATTACACACTAGCGTTGCAGAGGTGATTTCTTTTTTGTTTTAATTCCTTTTTTTTTGGTACTGGGAATCGAATTCATGACCTCATGCTTCCCAGGCAGGTGCTATGCCGCTGAGCTATATCCCCAGCCCCAGTAGGGGATACAGCTCTAATTTCTAAGACGCTGGGCTAAGTCAATAAACTACGGGAAAAAAATAACCTCACATTTAAAAAATTCCTTTATTCCCACAAAGAATAGAAAGTATTTTTATTAACTAGGTATAAAAATAGTATTATGAGTGTTCACAGTGTTTTTTAAAGGTCACTAATAAAATAAAAATGGTAATTTTACCTAAGTCACCATCAACTTAACAACCATGACCATCAAAAGGAAAACTGCAAACAGGATGAAGAAAGAAACCGGGACGGATGAAAAATCAGAGCAGACAGAAGATTCATAAGACAGAGGAACCTGGGCCTCTAAGTCTCTGAGCTGGCGAGGTGCGAGGTGGCCAGGTCCCCTCTGTCACAGCAGCACAGGGATTTCCAGAGGGAAGCCCGGGCCAGGTCCTGTGAGCGAGGCTGGTCAGATGAGCGGGACCAGACAGGTCACTACTGAGTGAGAACTGGAAAGAGAAGGTGTTCCACAAGACGAGGAGGGCTAGAGCGGAGGACGAGAGGCCCGACGGGTGGCGCTGTCGCTCCACCTGCCCGGTCTCGGGCCAACCCAGCTGCTGCAGAAAGCAATTCTGCTGCATGCCAAGAACCTTAAACTGTTTAGCTTCTTTAACCTAGAAGTTCCCCAGTTCTGATCATCTATTCTTAATAAACAGAGAAAAGCATGAAATTTGTAGGATACTAGTCACAGCATGGGTCACAGCAGTGAAAACACGGCAGTACCTAATGTACCCAACAAGAGAGGGGAAATAAGTAGGTTCAGGTAGGAGTATCTAAAATGATGCTTTTTGACAGTGTTAGCAATGTGGGGAAAAGGTCCAGATGTTAGGTTACAAAAAGAAGAAAATAAACTTTGGTAACAGAATATTAAAATATTAAATACACATGGAAAAATGAAGGTAATAAATTAAAATCTCCATGGAGGTTAAGGGTCCTGGGATTAAAAGTGATCCACAGCTTCTTTTTATGCTTTTCCCTAATTCTTAAATCTTACATATGGATATCTGTCATTTATGTAGTAAAAATGTAACAGAAGAATACACACTGAACAACATGGCCAAAATACATCAAGAGAAAAAAACATTAGAAAGACAAAAATTATATGACAGAACAGTTTAGTGTGAGAAATTAGCTTGCCATTGTCCTATAGGACAGATTGGTTAGGCAATAATAGGATGCAAAGGACGGCATCAGAACAAAACTATAAAAGCCTTTGAAATGGGCCAAAATGACACCCGAACAGTGTCTAGCACAGTTCTCTAGATTAACTAAATCTTTCTGTACGTGGGAGCTGTTTTTAAAATCCTGTAAGATGCAGAAAATTTGTAACAATGCAATACTGCTCAGTCACAGAAATGCCTACCACTTTGGTGGGACACAACTCACCGCTCCCTGCGGAGGGTGAGCAGCGCAGTATTTATGCCCAAATTCACTTCCAAATTCTTAGCTGCCTCCATACATGTGTGCACGCGCGCGCGCACACACACGCACGCCTTCTCCTAATTCTCCTTGGAGCCAGTTCTAACCTCTCACTGGTTCAAAACCTTTGATGTGTACATTTTATCTCCCCCCCTTTCCCCCTCGCTCTCTCTATTTATATTATCTTTCAACTGCCAGCGGTGGTGCACACTTGTAATCCCAGCACTCTCGCAGGCTGAGGCAAGTTTAAGCCCAGCCTGAGCAACTCAGCAATTTAATGAGACCCTGTCACAAAATAAAAAATGAAAAGGTCTAAGGATATAGCTCAGTGCAGAAGCACTGGATTCAAATGCCTAGTACCACAATACTAATACTACTAATAACATAAACACCTCCTACAGCACCTGTCTTTTAACAGCACGTATTTCATAACAAACGGTAACTATTTTCAAATTTTATATTCTGCACGCACTATCCCTTTCTTCCCTGGGATTCATGGAGAGTTGTACAAACAAATGAAATCTTACGCCTTGAAGTTCCCTCAGCGCACTGTAAGGCAGAAGAAAGCTTCCTGGTCACTTGGTTTTATCCAACGCAAGGAAAGAGAAGTGAGCAAGGAGACAGCAGACTATCCTGAGAGCAAAACCGCCACACAGTAAGATCTCTGGCAGCTGTGGCAATTTCACTCAAGGGTAACTTTTTAAAATTTCAAACTTCTTTCTATAAGAAGGAAAACCAACTTGCAGCATTCCACTTCACACACAGAAAAGAACAGGGAAGACAACATCACAGGGCAGGAACACCACCGAAACTGGGAAGAGTACCCTGAATCTTAAAGTGTCAGGCCCTTGTGTCAAAAACAGCCACTCAGAGCAAACTGTCAAAGATAAGAGACCAAAAGGTCGGAAGCCTGCCAGGCGTGGTGGCGCACACCTGCAATCCTAGCACTTGGGAGGCGAACAAGAAGATTGCTACGAATTCGAGGCCAGCCTGGACTACACAGCGAGCCCTTGTCTCAAAAAAAAAACCAAAACAACAAAACAATATAGGAAATAGGATCAAATATAAATAAAACCTTGGCTGTCATCATAGACATTTTATTTTATTTTCCATTGGTGCTTCTTTGAAAAGTGTCAGTGTTTTCAATTTTTAAAAATAATCCTAAGACATATATCATGGATCAGAAAGCCAAAGATGTTCAGGATAATTTTTCAAAACTGTACCCAAATGGATACAAAAACCAATTCTGTTTTTGAATAGAAAAGTGATTCTCAGACAAGGAAGCGGAATCACACCCAGGAAACATTCAAACCACCTCCCAGCTCACTCCCAAACCATCACCCCATCTCTGTCCCCAAGGAGAGAGACGGCACACTCGCTGAGTGACACGGATGGTGCAAGATGATAAAAGAATAATGTTCCCATGAGAGTTTATCACAGGCAGCCATGGATTGTTCAATATGAGAATCTAAAAATAGAACGCACCCCATCAGTAGCTGCGGCAAAATCACCCGGTCATTTATAAAAACCAAAAAAGCATTTGAAAAAATTTGCTACCGCCTCCTGGGACAAAATCTTCACAAAGAGAAGGCCAAAATATTTCTGTAACAGGCTAGAGAGAGTCTAAAACAAGCGCTGGTATTAACATTGTAATGAGTGCAGAAATGCCACGGAGCGGCGCGTGTGGGAGCAGAAGCCCTACAGGGACCCCGGCACGGCGTCGGCAGGGGAAACGGGGGCCAAGCGCAACCCTGATGGGTGCCGAGGGTTTCCAGTGAGAGGCACACAGAGAAACTCGCCCGGTAACGATGGATGGAGGTCACCACCAAGTCACAAAAGCAAAGCGGTCAACTAAAGCCAGACATTTAACATCTAACCAGCAAGCGGCCTTTCTACAAATAAGAGCAGCCAGGAAATTACGCCACGAAGAGAAACGCTGATCACCTCTGCGAGTACCTCCCGTCACCAACACACCCACACAGTGCGGTCCCTCTCGCTGGGGGCGACATATGGGGATGTGTTAAATGCTCTCCCACGGCGGACAGCCATGTCCCATTCCTGGATGTCACTGACTGAAGGCCAACTGGCAGCACGGGAAGGCTCCCTGCCCTGAAACCTCCATGCACGACTTTGGGACGCAAAGGACACACTACGTGGAGAGGGAGTCACAAAAACCGCCAGGCTCAACCTGCTGGGACACTGAGACAGGGACAGCGGCAGGGTCAGCAGGAGCCCGGGATTAGGCCCAGACGTTCAGATGCACGGTCAGAATGGGAGTCTCGGATCCACGCACGCAGGAACTAGATGTCGTTCGAAGAATGTATGGAGTGGGTTTTAAACTATACCTGGGCACAGCCAGGAGCCTAATGGTAAGGATCAGCTGCTGCCGCCCTGGGCAGGCCCTGCGGGGAGCGGCTCAGCCACAGCCTCCGAGCCATCCTTCCAGGACTTACAGGAGGAAGCTCCTCTCACGGGCCGAGCAGCTGGGGCGGCCCCTCTAGAGCCTGGCGGGCTGCAGCCCGGGCTCCTGCATGTCCCTCTGAGGACAGCTTAGCCGGAGCGGGGACTGGATTTTGCTGCAGCTGTTGATGGGGTGTGTTCTATTTTTAGATTCTCATACTGAAGTCAGTCCATGGCTGCCTGTGCTACTCTCATGGGAACATTATTCTTTTATCATCTTGCCTAAAGATGATAAAAGAGAGAGAGGAAGAGCTACAGGAGAAAGCCTACAGCTCCCCCACGCAGCTCCCTGTCCTCCTGCTGGGCAGTGGGAGACAAGGGGGCCAGGGATTCTGGGCAGCGATGGTGGGCAGCGACTCCTGACTGCTCCAGGTTCATTCTGAGTCTCACGCTCCAAACCAGAGCCGACTGCACAGGGCCATTCACCAAGCTGTGCCACACACTTCACAGTTTATCTCGGCGCCCATGGGGCGGCCCTGGCATGTGCCAGTACTGCCACTTCTCATCAAGGACGCCCAGAAAAATATGGAACCAAACCACAGCGCAGGCTCCAGCCCTCAGGGTGCCCCCCAGCCCCACTGACCTTCTTGGTGTAGCCCATGGCCTTCAGGACAGAGTGGTTCAAGGTCTCCAGGGAGGCCAAGACATCCTCATAGTCGCCCATGTGGTCCACAAAGTAATCTGGGGGAGGGCAAGCGAAGGGCAGAGGTCAAAGAGGCCCGTCCTCCCACCAATCCCACTCGCGCCCACTTCCGGCCCCTCCCCGCCCGGCCGGCCCCGCCCTGCGCCCCTCTGTGGCAGCCGCAGGCCCAGGCACCTACCGCACAGCTCCTTGGTGTCCACGTGGCTGCGGAGAGAGAAGTCAGAGTGGCAGGCCAGTCGTGCGAGTGCCCTTTGCGGGGGAGGTGGCAGGGTCGCTGCCGGCTCCCTGGAACCCCACCCACTTCTGTTCGAGACTGCTGACCACAGCAGAGAAGATGCGCTAAGCCAGGGCCAGGAAGGGGAGCTCTGGATGGAGGCGGCCAGGACTGCGGTGGGTCCTTGAGGGAGCCCGTCTGCCCCTCTGCCCACTCTGGCCTTGGCAAGCCCCGCAGAGGGCAACCCCGGAGTCCTGCTGAGACTGGCAGGGCAGAGGCCTCTGACTCATGTGAATCTCGGCTCCACGTCACCAATGAACTGGGTGCCCTGCAAACTGGCTTGGCGGCAGCTCCTTGTCTAGGCCAGCTCTAGTGTTCCCAGGGGCCCCTCAGATTATCTGTCTCCCCCAAGCAGGCCCCCAGAAACTCTAGTCTTTATCCTGAGTAGGCCTGGGAAGGTGACCAGGTCCCCCTGGCCCCCCTGAAGGGTGGGTCGAGCAGCTCTGGCTGCCTCCTGCATGGGTAACCCCACGGAAAGCATGAGTGTTGGGGGGCCCTCGGGCGGGCTGCAGGGGAGTGGTCTGGCTGGGGCTATGACCCTGTGGGAAAGAGGTTCCAGTGGCTGAGGCGTGAACTGGCTGGCACCGGGAGTAGGGGTACAGCTTGGTTTAAAACGGGCCTGTGTCAGGCCGAGGCTGGGGTCAGAGAAAGCACAGGGCCCCAGTCAGGCTTGGGGTCCAAGGCGGAGGGAGCCAGCAGGTCCCGGTCACTGCCGACCTTCCTCGGTCATTGTCACTTGGCACCAGGCAAAGCCGAGGGTGTCCCCCGCCTGGCCTGGCCACAGTGCTCAGAATAGACACGTCTGCAGCGCCACCCCGTCCACTCCCCATGTCACCGTGCAGGGAGGCCAAACCGACCGACCCCGGAGGAGCGAGCTGGGCTGGGGCTCAGGCCTCCTGCTGCTGCAGGGACGGGAAGCGAAGGCCCCGACCTGCACATCAGACCCACTTGGTGTTGTCCGAGTCGATGGCGTGGAAAAGGTCCTCCAGCTCCTTCTCGTTGAGGACGCCATCTCCAAAGAAGAGCTGGAACTCCTCCAGGGACAGCTTCTCGTCATCTGCAGGGGTAAAGGGGAAAGCAGCTGGAGTCTGGAGATAAGAGCAGCGACCACGCCAGCTGCACACATCCCGTCCGGGCAGCGCTGATCGACAGATACGCTCCAGCCCAGGCAACCCCTGCCCGGCTAATCCCAGCCTCCCAGGTAAACTCCATTTCATTTAATTTTATCTTTTGCAGTACTGGGGATGGAACCCAGGGCCTTCCCACTCAGTGAAAGTCCCAACACCAGTGTTTAGTTTTGAGACTGCTAAGTTTCCCAGGCTGGGCTTGAACTTGTGATCCTCCTGCCTCAGCCTTGCAGAGTGCTGTGGTTATATGTGTGTACCACCACACCCACCCTGAGCCCCATTTAATTTGTTTTCTTGGTACCAGAAATCAAATTCAGGACCTTCCCCTTGCCAGGAGGCACTCGTGCCACTGAGCTATATGCCAGGGACCCAGAGCCCCACGTCAGGTCATGTCTGCCCATCCAGCTTGTTCCTAGGTTAACCACTCCACTGACCCATTCATCCAGGTAATTCCCAAATAGGCGACTCCCCAAGCCAGCAAATACTACCGGAGCTGACTGGCTGGGGCTCGCTGCGGACCAGACTTCTTATAGGCGTTCAGCACACGGAGTATCTGCTCCCGGCCAGGCAACACTCTCATGCGCTTTGCAAGACATCTGGGGCAGCCCTGGTTAAAGCTTTGGTACCTGGCCCAGTATACCACCACAGCTAAGATGGATCCAAGCTGGCATGCAGGAACCACCGTACTCTGCGGCTTCCAGCGGGTTTGTGGGAAATCATCCCCAGCCCGCCCCAAGGCCTGCTCTGGGAAGGCGCCCCCTCTGTGCTGGGCACAGCGCTGTCTGAACCTCGTGGGTCAGGGTGAGGGTCAGGGACAGACTGGACCACCAAGGGGGGCAGCTAAAGAACACGGGTGACTCGGGAGCTGCCGAGCACAGGCCAGCTTGTGGGTCTCCACCTCCAGGGTTCCTTCCACACCACCCACCCCATTTCACTGAGGGGAAACCGAGGCGCAGCAGGGAGGGGACAAATCAGCTCCCACAGCTGCAGCTTGAGCCCTGACCCTCCAGCCACCTGGGGCCAGGCCGCCATCTCCCAGCTACAATGGGTGCTGGCACGCTCCCCTCCCTTCCTGGGGGGGCACAGTCGGGGGTCTGCCCCACGTGGAGGTTACTGGCCAAGCCTGGGCTCAGCAGATGTGTGCTGTGGCTGATCCACCATGCCCGGCCCCGCACAGCAGGGGCTGTCCCAGCAGGCCCCATCCCCTCCACCTCCTCCCATCTGTCCTGGTACCTTGGTGCCCTCTGCACCCCAGGAGAACAGGCAGACAGAGGCCGGAGGCCCCGATCACAAAGCCCTCTCAGCTGACATTTACCGAGCACGCCTGGCAGCGGGCCTAACGAACCCCTAGAGCTAATGAGGGATCAACATCTCGGCCCAGGCTTCAGCCCAATTATCCGCACCAAGTGGGCCGGCGCCGCCACCTCCGCCCGAGGTCCTGGGCAGGGCCCTTCGCAGGTGCTTCTGCTAACGAGCACGAACAGCTGGTTCAGTGACCTTTCAAATGCCAAGAGCCTGGCAGCTATGGCATCCTGGGGGGTGTGCTGGGTGGCCTCTGCCCCTCTGCCAGCTGCCGTGCACCTTTCTGGGGTCCACACAGGCTGCCGGGCAGGGCCCTCGCTCCTACCTCCTCTAGCTGTTTCTACCTCCACCGAGCTGGTCTCCATGCCAGGAGCCTCGCCAGGCCAGCCTGTTCCCTGCTCCTTTAATCTCAAGGCCTCTGCCCTTTAACTTGCAGCTGGGCGGGGCAGAGACCACACGGCTGTCTCCCATCCCTGAGCCCACCGCTGGCCCCTCCTGCGGTGTTCGTGGGTGTTCGTGTGTCGGCACCCGTACGGGCACCTGCGTGCACACCTGTTCCACACCTACTTGCACACTACTTCTCTGACTGCCCACTCACTCCCACACCCACACCACGTTTTTAACCTCGGTGACCGCTCAGCATGTGCTGGCCCTGCTGCCCACCTGAAGGTGACCACCTGCTTGATGCTGGCCTGGCTTTGTCACCTGGGAAAAGCGGAGTGGCTATGCCAGAAGGGCCACTCCTGCCTCGGTGTGTGACAGGTGCTCTGTGATCTTGGGGAGCAGCCAGACCGAAGGCAGCTGTGCCCTTCTCAGGCGCCAGCACCCGCTGGCTCTCACTGAGTGAGGAGTTTTCTGCACAGTCCAGGACGCAGGTGCTGGTGCTAACCCCATTTACAGACCAGGAAACGGAGGCCCCCAGCGTGATGACTTGCTTGAGGTCACGGCATACGGGGCTGAGCCCGGACGTGAACCCAGGCAGTGGGGCTCCAGGTTAACCCAGCACTGTCCCTGCGTGGGCCCGAGGAAAAAGCCTGCCTCAGCTCCTGTAGGCCTGGGGCCCCCTAAGTCCTGTTGGTAACAGCACGTCACGCCCACATTAACCCTGGTGACAACCGCCCAGGCTCGAGCGAACGCGGGTCCCAGGAGGAGGAGCAGGCCCGGCCTCCGTGGGGGCTGCAGGAATCAGAGGTGCCCGCAGCTGTGCTCAGGGGGTGGAAGGCAGCCTGGCAGGGCTGGGGTGCAACCAGAGAGGACGGCACCCATGCGAGCCAGGGGGACAGGCACCACCCCCACACTGCTGCACAAGTCAGAGGCACACACCCTAGGCACACGCAGCAGGGCACAGAGGTGCCACGGTCAGCCCACGGAGGTGACAGACACTGCGGCCACACCCAGCACCCCCAGTGAGGAGACGATGCCACAGCCCCAGCCCCAGACTTCCTACACAACGCCACACACGGTAGTGAGCTCGCGGCCAGGGGCCCTGCGGAAAGAGACCGGCTCCACTGGCTCGTGTCGAAGGCCCTGCCAGCCACGGGTTCTCCGAGTGTCACTTACTGTCCCCGCACCCTTCTGCCTTTGTGCCACACAGACTCAGTGCTGGTGGCCCTGCGCCCTGAGGCCCAGGAGGCGGCCCAGCACCCCAGGGATGGGGTCAGGGAGGGGTTCCTCAAAATGATCCCACCCAACAGGAACCCCCAGGGGCAGATGGGGCTGGTGCCAGGCCTTGGACCCAAAAGCCCAGGGCAGTGAGCGGGGGCCGTGTTAACATCCCCGTTACAGACTGGGAAACTCAGGCCTAGAGAGGGACTGTGCCTTGGCTGAGGTCCACAGGGATGCGCTGACTCTGCTAATAACTGGTGAGCATGACAAGGTGGGACGCTGCTTCTTCCCGGCCCTCCCCGGGAGGTGTGGGCCAGCCCGCCCGGGGGTGTCGTCTTCCCAAAGACAAAGGGCGGGAGGATCCCACGGCTGCCACCACGCGCTGCTCACGGCTTGGGAGGGCTTGGGGGTAGGAGGACACAGCTGGGGTCTTTGAGGCAGCCTGGCCATTGCCCATCAGCTGGTGACCCTCGGGCACGGTGCTCAAGCTCTCTGGGTCATCAGGTGCTGCCAGGGCGGGGCACCGGCACCCGCTGCCCTGGGTCCCCGTGCTAAGGTGCACAGTAGGCTCAGAAGGCCCCAGAGTGAGGCTGCGCGTCCTAAAGGGCGGCCTCCGGGTCCCAGCCCGTGCCATAAGCAGGCCACACGGCGGAAGTACCCCAAGTACTTTGCGCCACCAGCCAGACCCTGTTCCCGGCGTCCTTCCGGGAGCCCCGCTAGGCAGGGGCTGTTCCAGATAGGGCAACTGAGGAAAGGGCAGGGGTAGGCTTTCTGACGTCAGTCGTGCCCGAGTCACCTTCCCCAACTGCTTGTCTCTGCGGCCTCAGGACAGACAGGGCCTGGTCCCCCTCCGCGGACTGGGGGAGGTAACTCACCATTCTTGTCTGCGCGGCGGAAAATCTGCAGAGAGAAAAGGGGAGTCAGCCCTGAGCAGGAGGGGCAGGCGCCCCCCAGCGGTTTCTGCCCCGCACTCAGCCCTCACCCCCACCTCGGGAGCAGCTCTGGGCTGGAAAGGCTGTGCTTGCTTCCCAGGGGAGGAGGCCCTGGCTGCGCGGGGGGCGGGGGGGCGGTGGCCCCCCAGCCGCTCCTCGGAAGGGGCCGCCCCCGCTCCCTCTGCACGCCAGCCTGCCCACGCTGATGGCAGGCGCAGGCGCTGCACACTCACGCGCACCCACACACCACCCTGCAGAGCCCACCAGCTCCTGACTCGCGCCACACTCGGGGGGACGCAGTGTCCCCTGCGGAGCCCCTTGCAGAACCCCTCTACCCTCAGGGGCCTCCCGGGGCAATTCTATCCGCATGAAGCATCCTGGGGCAGGCTGAGGGCAACACCTCCCAGCTGGCGGCAGCCTTGCGGTACCCAGGCTGGGACAGTGGTCCCTCCCCTTGTGGCTCTTGACACTTGCCTGGGGCCACACCCAGGCTGAGCCCCAGCCGGAGAACCAGTGCTCGGGCAGCGCCAGCTCACGCTGTAGTTAAAGCTCCTGTGACAGCAGATGTCCACGCCTGGGGGCGGACAGGTGTTGGGCCAGGGGCAGCCGCCTCGCCAGTGAGTCTGTGGCACACGCAGCACCCTGGGCCCACCCTGGCCCCGCGGAGTCAGAATCTGCGTCTGAGCCTGATTTCCGGAGACTCGGTCATCCCCACCACACGGTCTGAAAGGATGCCGGGGCATAGGGCAGCCCCAGCTCAGCAGAGCTGGCTTATGTCAGACGGGGAAACTGAGGCCCCAGGAGGGCAAGAAACATGCCCGTTTCCCAGTGCTTCCAGGACGCCAGGGAGGTGTCCCAGGATCGGGGAGCCCTGCGGGACCCCCCTCCCGCCTCCATGCCCACCCCGGCAAGTGCCCCCTGTCCCGCACCCTCCCAGCCGGAGAAAGGCATCTGCCGCTGCTACAGGCTCTGGGTTGTCAGGGAAGCAGGGCTGGGGAGGACAGCCCAGGACCACTGCCTCCTCTCGGCCGGACCCCAAGTCCCCTCAGAATCAAAGCCTGGACACCCACATGGCTGCTCCTGACTGGCAAGGTTCTCAAGACTGGAGGCCGGCCCGGGTGTCCTGGAGCCCCCAGACCAGAGTGGGAAGGACCCACGGCCGTGGTTACACGTGGCGCAGGGGTTCTCCCAGCCCCTCACCCCATTTCACAGATGAAGAAACGGGGTCTCCAGGCCGGGCAGGTCTCAGCCAGAGGGAGTTGGTAGAAAGGACCTCGGCCCAAGCCGGGGTCCCGGGAGGCGCGGTGCTGAGTCCTGCTGTGCGCGCGTCTGTGTGTACGCGTGCCTGTGTGAGTGCGCACGCCGCCCCCAAGCACCAGAGCCCCCCTCCCCACCCCATCCCGCCCATAGGGGTTCCCGATTGAGAAAGGGAAGGGAGAGGCGGAAACCCCCTCCCCTGAAGGCATGTGTGGGACACACAGAAACACAACCCCACACAAGCTGGGCACCCCCAGGATCCTCTCTATGACCTGACCCCAAGTTTCCTCCACCCGCTCAGCCTCTTTACAGAGAGAATCTCCGGTACCCTCAGCTGTCCACCCCCTCGCGGGAGACAGATGCGCTTCCCCGGGGTGAGCAGTCGGAGGGGCGAGCCTGGGGCCCAGGTGACAGAAAGAGTGGGACAAGGAAGCGGAAGGCGGGTTTCAGGGCTCAGTGGTCCTGGGAGGCGGACACCGGCACAGGAGTCGGGAAGCGAAGAGGCAGGGCAGAAGCGCCGCTTCCAAAGTTGGGGGCAGGGCCTGAGGGCCTCTGGGGTTAAAACCGGGGTGGGGGTCTGGAGCGAAGGAGAGAAGCTAGGGAGCGCAGGGGGTCGTTCAGGGGCTCAGAAAAGTACCCTTCGGGCTGGAACCGGACAGAGAGGAGGGGCAGGCGGTGGCTGCCGCGCGCAGAGCAGGAGGATTCGGCTGGGACAGAGGCGGGGCGGGGGCGCGGGCGAGTGCGGCAGGGGAAGGGGCA